TAAAAATAAAATATTGTATGTAAAATATCTAAGAGCATGTTAATATTAATAAATGTATATTCATATATATTTGATGTTTCAAATATCTTTAACAAGAAAATACAAAGAAATTAGAACGATTAAGTAGCAATTTATATTATTTAATGAACATTAACAAGTTTAGAATTAAAATTATGGACTTGATTGAAAAATAACATCAGATTTTAGGATAACATTTATAAAGTATGAAATATTTGAGGTATATTAATAATTTTTAACAACTTAGGGGTCAAAATATAATATTAAAAATATTTGACCTTTTTTGAAAAAAAAGGCTTTGACTGAGCCCGTTCTTTCACTTTTTTCTGGTCAAAAATCGGGTTTGATCGAGTTTTTACTCATGCATTTTTAAAAACTCGGACCGAACACTTAGCTGTTTTCAATTCGACCGGCCGGTCCGTTTAAAAACACATGTGTATAATGAATGAGTCACGCCTCTTTAATTAATTAGACTTTGGGGAGGTGATTAGCGTGTGAACAATGATATTTTTTCAGTGTTTTGCAATTCAAAGACGAACATGGAGTCTCGATAAACGCTGAATTCGTGCTTATTATTAAATAAATAATTGATCACCCCCAACTTTTGTCAAACATAAATCTTCCAAAGATAACAGTTGATCAATATGACGTTTTGCCAACAAAACTTGTAAACTGCTAATTGGTTGCTAAAAGGTCTTGACTTTTAAACCGCACGTTTCCACGAAAGAAAAATAAGAGTCTACTTTCATAAGAAACAAAATTGCGTATGCATTAGGACCCAAAAAAAAAAAAAAGGAATCAGCAGACGCTTTGATTGGGTCAAGTACCAAACAACATGCTGGTCTCTAATGGACAATGGATATGTGATGCAGACAAATTCATCGCTATCGCACAAATGCTTCCAATGTTGTTACGAGTCTTATAACACATGCTACGGAATTAGTCCCCAACCCAGCTTCACGTTACTGTTACTCAAGTGATCATAAATTTCTGATTCGACTTTCAAACCCAGTCCCTTAATTCCTTTTTATTTGAAACACAAAAAAAAAGGAAAGAAAAATGGTAATGGATTTGCAGAAGATGAATATCAAAAACTTTAACCTTAGATATACTACTGATAAACGCAAAGAAGTTGTTGATTTAAACTCTGTAATGGATAGTCTCATTTCCGGAGGATAAACATAAGACTTTTTGTCCTAAAGGAATACACTCCAATGACATCTGAAAGAAGCAGCACAGTAATGACCAACAATGCAGTGTCCATATATGGTACAGTACAACAGAGAAGGAATCACAGCTGCTGTATTGACATAATTTCAGATGCATCAACTTGTAAATACAGGGCTTAATTAAGTGCAAACAGTATTTACAAACGAATATGCTAACTAAGAACTATTTTACATTTGATACTAAAATCCCCAAACCGAACTCTGCCAAACCTCAACAAATTGCTGGTCCTTCCTGGTGACGAACATTTTGTTACCCCCGAAAGCCAAGTTTGTTATCCTGCTACCACCCATATCTTTTGCTCTTCCCATGGAGTTCTTCCTAAAGACTCTGTCCTCTACTCTTCCATTTTCACCCTTTATAGAAGAACCAGTCAGAACTTCAGACCACAGCTCAATGTTTCCTCCTTTGCTACAGAACACTTGATTCCATGGCTTTCAATTTTACACCCTGAACCTTCCTTCTTTCCATTGATCACCTTTCTCACATCTCCTAGACAAACCCACGAATTCTCAGCAGCGCCAATACTCCTGAAATCAGTGAAAAACTTCACCAGAATTCACACCAACCTTAAACAGGGCTGACAGACTATCTGACGCTGTGACATCAGAAAAGCAATCAACCTTTTCCTTGACTTCCCAAACAACATTTCCAGACCTCATATCCCAAAACCTAATATTCCCTACCACACCAGCAGGACCACTGTGGGAGCCAGAAGCCATCAGCAAATTATGACTAGAAATCCATTGCAGCTTTGTTGCTGGAATAGCAGAATCCAGCTCAGCACCAAAAATTTCATAATGACCAATGGTGGTAACAGGCCTAAAACCATCGTTAATATCATAAACCATAACGCAATTGGAATTTCTCCTACCAGACTCGAAACTTGTAAATAAGTATTCCGGTGATGAACCAATTGCCTGCACAGTCGAAGAAGACCTTGTCACATTTTCCCAGTTCAAAGTTTCCTTCACAATACCCTTGTCAAGGTCAATGATCTGCAACCCTGAGAAGTCCGTGGCACCAGCCGCTACTGTTTTGGGGGACAATGCCAATAGCGAATCGATGGCTGTAAATTGAGTCAAAATGGTTGATTTTCTCTGCAATGACCAATCAAAAGAAGTGATTTTACAACCATTTGCCACATGAACTGATCCAAATTGGGTTGTTGAGATAGTTGAAGGCGAGTCCCTGCCACTCAAGGGTAAAATCGTGGATTTATCAACATTAAAGGCTTCAAACAGAGAAGGATTTGATTGAGAATTGATGAGAAGATTCTCAATACCGTAGAATCTGGACTCAAAGATTAGGTCTTGAACATCAAAGGCTTTAGCTTTTGATGGAAGATTTCCGGTTCTTAGAAGGGAAAGGAGAATAGAGAAAAGCTCTGGATCTCTGTCAATAAAAGGGATTGTACCCTGCGAATTGGACAATTTGGAGAAAAGAGATTTGGAACCAGCTAAAGCTAGGGTTTGTCGTGTGGTTTGGAAAATCTGACCACCCACATCAATTGTGATCACATTAGAGATTGAATCTCTGGAGTTCTGGTAGAAGCCATCCAAATGAGGCTTGGGTCCTGCAAAAGGCGGCATTTTTGGAGCTTCCACCCTCTGAGTTATACTTTCTTCTACAGAAGTTTCAAGAAATCTCAAATTCAAGGAAGATTAACAACAAAACTTGAAAACTCTCAACCCGAATCTGCAAAAAGACTCAATCTTGGGACAATTAGAGATGATTGAATGACGGGAAAAGCAAAAATTCTCAAGAAAAATGGAATAAGGAGGAAAAAATCTTTGTAAAAGCAATTGAAGAATAACTGCTTTCTCCAAGCTTCGATTATTATGCTCGATAGTTTAGCAAAGAGGCACTGCAGAAGAAAGAGCGGCGGAACCAGTATAGCGAGATGTAAAGAGGTTGGACAGAGATTGATGATGGACGGCCGAAGAACAGGCAGGTGTTGATTTTTGTAGGGGTTGCAGCGGTCTACCATTCTAGAGGGTCAAATAGGTGATGGTTGTCAAGAAAGTCGAGGAAAGGGGAGAAATTGAATATTTGACCGTAGAAATATAAAATGCTGGTCATAGCAGTCCAGGATGGACCATACCTCTGGTTCCGCAAGACTTTGAAGTTTGAATGGAAAAGTACTCTGATATCTATTTGTCAGAGTGCGTTAGTGGTTAGAACCTTCTAAAGGAGCAAAAGAAGTCGCGCTTATTTTTATTTTCTTTTGTCCTTTCATTTTTGGAAACTTCTCAGCTGGGGTCGATAAACATGAAGAAAACTACATGTATGAAAAGCTATTGAGAACGAAAAATTGAAGGTACCACCTGAATCTGGTCCATCTACGAAACATATAATGATGAAAGCATATTATTTTTTTCTCATTTTTCTTTTTTTGGTATATAATCCACATGTTGTAAAATTCTGCTCCAACAAACAAACAAATATGAGAGGTCAAGAGCATGATCGTCTAAATAGGCAAAGTCAATCTCAATTCTAGTTTGTGAATACAAACAAGAGCTGCAAAAATATGTTGAGAAATTCTATATTAGTATGTTTGAAGACTTCTCCTCTTAGAGTATATAGGCAAGTAATAGAATCTTGGATTGAGGATATTTAATTTATTATCATTCTACCCAGTCACTACGTTCCAGTTTCTCCTTCAATTACATATTTCCATTTCTTTTTTTCTTTTCTCTAAATCAGTCAATGAGTTCGTGAGAGTCAATTGCGACTGCGAATAGCTATTTTGCACTTGAACAAATTATTTTATTTGGCTTCGTTTTGAATCCCCACATACAGAAAGCCCTGTTTGGTTCTGCCCAGATTATTTCAAGAAGAGTGCAATTTCTTGTCATTTAAACCGGAATTCATATCGGTCCGAGCTTTCCTTGACAGTCATGAGACGGCTTGTACTGGATATGCGAGACATTTTTATCTGTCAGTTCTGTACAAGGTGTAAATTTTTAACCTTTCTATATATGTCTCTTTCCCACAAAAGAAAATTTACAGACTTTACACCTACACTGGCTTCTTAGAGCATAATTGCACTAAAGTCGCACACTCTTGCTACTTAATTGTCCGGAGCCAATTTTGTGTCTGCCCTTGCAAATATTACTGTCAACAGTTCACAAATGCCGGCCATGGTGAGGCATCGCATGGTGCCGGCTTTAACTCATCTCTCGTATATGGTCAAGCACAGTAAGATTGATTTACAAAGAGAACATTGTCAACTTGTTGACACCCAAACAAAAGAAAATTGACAGTGTCAAATTGCATCAACTATAATATGATTTAAAATTTGGATCTTGCAACGTGACGAGCCAATTAATTCTAGGGTCGATGATGTTATTCAGGGTAAAATACAAACCCCAAGAGTCCAAACAGTTGGCATGAGCGCTTGGAACAAGCAACTCACCTAATGTCGGCACAAGTCCAGGCAACTGAGGAACTCAATGATTATCCATCGAGACTGCTTCAGTAACTGATGCGCTAGGACAAGAATTGGCAGCCTCACTTCCATTCTGCAAATAAAATGAAACATGAAACTGGAGTGACGTTGCAATTTAGTGCAGGGTCCGTTGCAACTCACGCAGTTTATGCAACCATGTATTGGACGCTAACAAAACTGAAGTCAAAACCTGACAGGATATGGAGCTTGACGAACATATTCAGGTAAGCACAGTAGTATCCTCCAAAGTTTCCAGATGAAATAAGATTAGAACACTACGCCAAACGAAGAGAGAAACACAAGATTAAACTGAAGCTGTTATGTCGTCATCATCATGGGCTGCATTAAAACAACTGTTCCATCCATAGCTTATTATATTACATATCAAAAAGGAAAAGCCAAATATCTAGATCATGTTAATTACTATTATGAATCTGCTTTAGGTAGAGGATAAGGAGATGCAACATCCTCACTAAATCTTAATATTACCTCACCTTCACTCGTTTCTACGGTCAGAAATGTGCAAAAAACAGCCTCCATTTTTTGGTCAGTGCTGCCATGTATCATCAACATCAGAACCTTGTAAAGCTCAACCATTTGTTCTGCTCCTTGCTGGCTGGGTTCAGACTTCAGAGAATCAAGCCAGGCAACAAGCTTGTTGCACAGGTGTAAAACCCAATGCAGCCATTAGCTGACTCCTGGCTGCATCACTGGGAAAAAAGTCCAGCTTTTGCCTGCCACACCATCCTTCCCCATAACTTTCTCATTGGCCCACCAGTCAGATCCAATATTAGGTGTATCAGAATTCCCTTCATCAACACTGTCAAAGTTGAATTCTTTTGCAGAGCCAAGGGTTATTGTTCGCTGCTTCTGATGCCACTGGCCACCATCGCCATCTACAGAAGCTCTACCAGAACCAATTCTTGAGGCTTCGCCAGCACAGCCTTCATGTCCATTTGCCATTTCCTTTGGATTATCCTCTGTTTTAACCACACATTCAGTATTCGATGGAGTAGTTGCTAATACGGCCTTGGGAAAGACTGCTGGCGTCTTTTCAACACATCTAACAACTTCTTCTGCAGTTATCTCAAAGGAAACTCGGTGATCAACAGCAGTTTCATCAACTCTCGTGACGTTATATGAATTTGAAACTGTAGAAGCATCAGATTTCTGATTATCCAGAAGAAACCCATTGCGATATCTAGGTGCCACAGTATCGGGCGTGATAGTACCAGATCCTTGCCGAGAACCCCATTCATGAGGTGCAATCTTTTCAAGGTTCAAAAGCTTGGGAGGATCACCACTTCTGAACTCTAGGAAGTGGGGCCGTCCATAAACAAACTCACCATCAGGGAAAGGAGATGAAGTACCTGAACCAGAGATGCCTGAGCTGGGCGAGATTAGATGGCTGACAGGGCTTCCAGGTTGAAGCTGATACGATTGAAATTCATATTGAGGCAAAGGATATCTCTGACCATCTTCACAATTTTGGTCTATTGGGTCAAGTAGCCGAGCAAATGGCACCTCAGGTGAAGATGGAGTAGTCATGTGGACAGACTCTGGTGGCGGAGTAAAGGAGCAGTAGATGGTTCGGTTGTAAAGGTTGAGAAAACAGGGGGAGTAACTAATTGTGTCTCATGGGCGTAGGGGCCAATAGCAAACATTGAGGCAGGCCCACCAGGGGAATACATGCTTGCAGACATAGATGTGAGGGACAGTAGGCCAGGTGGTGATTGAGTTGCAGATGGAGGTTCTGACTGAAGGAAAGAAGCAGGAGAGGAGGGAGGTGCAATGAAAGGGAGTGCCACAGAAGCTGCTTGAGTTTGATTTTCAACCACAGGAGGATCGGCCCTTGGAGCTATAGGTTCAGGAACAAGAACAGCGTGTCCAATGCGCTTGGTGTGTTTATAAGATCCAAAACACCAATATAAGCTCCAGCAGCTAGCCCATCTTCTTTTCTGCACATGACAGGAGATTGCAATGATATAATAGTAATTTTTGCCCAAAGCGTAATAAAATGTCTTTTGCATGTACCCAAAGAAAAATGCGCAATTCTGAATTTGACACAGAAATAGGATTTTGTAAAGTGAAACAAATTGAATATTCAGTAATTCACCATCAAACTTGGTCCAGGAGACCCAGGCACAGAATCAAACAGCTAACTGAAAAAAAATTCAATATTCAGCAATAACCATCAAATGAGATTCTGGGGACTCAGGCACAAAAACGAATAGATACAAATACCAATGTTTCGCACTCAAATTTTGGGCCAAATAAATCTAAAACCCTGTAGTATTGTAGACTAATCTAAAGGGCGCAATGAGAAAAGGCGGAATGGGCAATAAAAACTTAATAATGACAAACAAATTTGAACTCAAAATTTGTTCCAAGGAACTGAATGATCAAAAATCTGAAGCTACATCAAAACTGCCCAGGAGGTCCTGTAATCCACCAGCTTCTTCTCTGGGAAAAACATAGTTGCTTTCCACCCCACAAACCTTAGGAGGTCCTTTGCTAGACCCAAAAAAGCAAGTGAAAGGAACTATGTTTTTTTTTCATGTGAAAATCTGATATCAACAAATTTAGCAGACACTTTAATTTTCATGTTGCTAGCTAAATAGGTAGTGAGGCAATGTTCAACAAAGAACCTCTATCCATAATAAAGTGAAAAATAATACTCACTGAAACAACAATTGAAAAAATCAACTTGGCAAAATGGAACATCAAGAGCAGTCTAATTTTTGCTTCAAATTCTAAAATCAAACAGTCACAGTAGCAACAATTTTCAAGGCCATCAACAAAAGAAGATGACGCAATTGTCAAGAATATCCCCAAACATGAGAGCGAACAATCAACTTTAATAATCAAAATCCATCCCTAACTGGCACTCTTAGTCAAATATTTGCCGGAGTTAGCAACAATCACAAAATCAGGTTGCTACTTGCTATAGACAATTCTTCACACTTCATTATTAATTATTCTACTAAGTCCATGTGCTATTGCTGCCACACTGAATTGATGCTCTCAATAGCACATAAGTCTGCACGTTCAGATGGATGGACGTCAATCCCATATAACGCAAATGCTACCATTTTAGAATAACGTGCATTATCCAGCTAAAGTTTTATAGGGAAAATACTCATCAGAACAACTTTATAGCACCACTTGAATATGTCTACATTCAAAATATACCTCAAAATATGCCCCAAATGGAAAGAAAAGAGATCCCACACAATGCACTAATTTGCACAAATTAAAAATTCATCAAATTAGTCAAATCTCAGCAGGAGTAAAGGCAATCGGGATGCTTGAAGGCCCCATTGACCCCAAAGTTTAAATTCTAATTATAGTTACTGCCAAGAAAGGGATTGCAATTAATGACCGTGCACTAGAACACAATTCGTACGCCTCTTTTCTTCCTCTCCAACAGGAGTTAATATCTACACATGGCTGACAATATGGCACAGCCAAGCGCAATGGTTCTCTCCTCCTGCTATACATGAGAAGCATCATAAGGGCATAATGGCAAAGCCAAGGGCATGTTTAAACCATCAATCAATAAGGATTCATCGATACAATCCACTGAGGATCTATCGTACTATCTCATAACATACAGTCATCAAACATCATCCTACTGGATTGAGACTGGAGAGCCAAGATTGTACCTCCTCTGGTCTTCTCAGTCATTCAGTTATAGTTTTGGAGCATCGAAGTGAAATCCCAGCCAAGCACCACCACATGCAAACCTAGTACTTACTGTCCCATCAGAGATTAGCATCCGTCAAATACCCAACGTCATTTTCCACGTCATGACTCTCAAAATATCACTCACGTGGAATGCGTTCTTCACCATTCCTAAACCATCAGTCTTAACATAGATTAGTCACGTTTCCGAAGAAAAAGTTCACTTCATTCTTAAAGTCAAGAACTGTCCCAATATACCTCTGCTGTATATACAAGCAACTATACATTTTTCTCTCAGGTGGGTAGCTTTGTCTCTTTTCCCACAGATAGAACAACTGTCATAACTCCTCTAATGCCTACAGAACGCACAATCACACGTACACTTGATGACGCAACAGAAAATATATCGTGAAATAAAGCAAAATAATTAATTTGTGAAGTTGGCAAAACAAGTAGGCGATAAAAGATCAGCAAAAAGTTGAGCCTTTTAACTTCTCTGACAAGTACAGCTGCAGGGTGGACAGCAATGCTCTTCTACTCCAAAGCTAACCTTTGTTAGTTGCAGAGTCTTTCACATTCAGTTGGTAAACCCAAGTCAAGAACTCCAATTCAACAGGGAGGAAATTTAAAAAGCTATAGTAAATTCTACTCTGACAATAAACGCCATAAAGTGCAATAAAACAACCATAACAACAACACGAATTTATCAATTTAGAAGTTTGTTTCTCCACAGCAGAGTAAACAATATCTAACTAGTGTTCGGTAATGGTAAGTTTATACAGTTAACTTCTAAAGTCAAAAGCCATAAGTTATGATTACACAATCTACCTCACTTTCACTTACCGACAGGATAATCCACTCGATTCCCATATCTTCTCATTCCCTCAATATCCGGAAGACACCAAACTGATCAAAATTCCTTCTAAGCTCTTAGAAACTCAAGAACGAATTGGCTCCCAAAATACTGGACTTGTGGAATATTAAAGCATTATTACCTCAAAATCAGTTGATGTAAGGCGTTATAGTATATAACTACTCTTAGAAATAGCATCAGAACTGAAATTTTCCAGCAAAACAGAACATGTTATTAACTTTCTCCGACAATTATAATAAATCGCTGTCAACCACACAAAAAAGCTTCAGTTTTTTACATATCTAACTCAGAAAAACTGTTCGCTACGAGTAAAATTTCCACATCCAAAATTCAAACATGAAATTGGCTATCAGAAAATACTGAGACATTTAAGCATGAAGCTGAATAAAAAGCAGAATCAACTTTAAATCAGATATAAAATATCAATCAAAGATTCACAAAAATAATACTCAAAATTCAATCATTCACTAAAATTCAAAATTAAACCTCTTAATCACTAGATCTTAACTCTAAACCATCAACGAACAAAAAAAAAAAAAAAAGCTCCATTAACTAATATTCAACCACAGAATGACACAGTATCCAATAAAATATCAAAACACTGAAACCAAAAGAAATAAAACTTTGCTTTCTTTTCAGTTTACCTGAACACCAACTTGAGGCACACGATTCTCCGCCGCCGCGATCGCATTTGCAGCTGCGTTTATTGTCTCGAGAGTATTATTAACTTCTCCGGCCCTCCTCTCGCCTCCTATTCCGTTCACTCGTCGCATATCTTCACTCCAATTCAGTCAGAAGAAATATCAGCTCAAATTCACTGATCAAATCCAATCGAACGTTCTCTCCAAATATTAAAAATACATAAAAAGATGGGAAATTTTCAAAAAACTAGACAAGATTAAACAGCCATAAATTGATGATAGCAGAAGAATGCAGCAGATCACATATACATATACATATTTATGCAATTAAATATTTTGTGTTTCTCTTTCTACCTATACGTACACTTCTGTGTATGTATGGATTGTAACTGACGAAGCTCTGGAGGTCAAACACGGCAATGACTTGGTAATTGATTTTTCGTAATTATGCTTTTGTTATTATTGGAGGGGGCTTAGGTATGTCCCTTTAATTGGGGAGGGGGCCGGGGGGCCGTGGTTAATTTTTTAATTGAGGGGAGGAGGTGAAATGACGAGAATGGCCTTAGAGGGAGGGAATGCTGGATGCTGGGGTTTTAATGGGGTGCACCTGAATTTTACACGAGGCATTCAATGGCTTTGCCATTTTGGTTTCAAGGTTCACACAGTCACACCAAATTGGATTTTCTCTTTTATTGCAATACATGAGGATTTAGGCGTATGAATTTATTGGGATTGGAGTTCATTACTTTGTGTGTGTAAATTCATGTGACAAATATGGAAAGGGTGTTTGGTTGAATTTGAAATGGTAGATTCAAATAAGTTATACTAGTAGTAAAATGGTAAATCTTGATTTCATGGACATTGTAAATTGGCCAAACTTTCCAGTTTTAGAAAATTGAGTAAATGTTGTTATATGGGTGCAAAAAAAATTCTAAATTAATTATTGAGTTTACTGACTACTCAACTACTTTGATAAATCAGAATAATTATCATCCTATTCCATGAAGAGTTGGATAGTTTTGCACCATAATCCCTATAAATGTGACGACGTACAACTCTTAAATTTTATCAATTTTTTTAAAAATATAATCATAATTTCATTTACTTGTTGCTCACCTAACCTAACCATTTTTTGCCTTTGTCATTTTTTCGCCATGTTTTTCTCCTACCATAATATACTAGACAAACAAGATAAACTTGCCGATTAATCTCTTGCTCAAGGAAAAAGATTGAAGTGGGTTAGGACCCTTTTTTCAGGATTTGGGATATATTTTTTGATAATCTATAAAAAGAAGAGAGAGGTGGATGAAGATGGGGTAGTTTGGTCCATGGGCATAATTTGTGGACCATTACAACAGCATTTGTTTATTGGCAGTAAAAGTAATAAGTAGTAATTACTACTTTATTAGTTTAGCAGTAGATGCGGGCTGCGGGCCTTTTGCCGAGAAAGCTTCGCAGGTTGCTTTGTCAAACGCAAGCGCACGTGTGGGCATCCACTTCGAAATGGGTTTCGTGCTCTACTCTAATTCCCACCCTGGCCCCCTTTAATTTTTTTTCGTCTGGGGACCCACCCGGAAAATTCTCCCCCTTTACCCGCCACTTTAAACTAACTTGCACGGTTGGCTCTCCTTTCAAATTTACCCCCATTTCTCTGGCTTTCTGTTTTGTTCTTTTTCTACTTAGAATAACTTAAGTAGCGGATTTTCATCATTACTACTTTTTTTTTTTAACTTTGCTAAATTTCATGGTATTGATTTTATGGATTAATTTTTCATACACTGACACTATATACATTTTTATCATTAAATACATGATACTTAAAACTCAAATTTTATATATGTGCCTTATATCCAATCATAATAGTATATATACTATCAATGTATATAAGATTTACTGATAATTTTATTATTTGACTGGAAAATAACTTTTTTAAAATTTCTATCCTAACAAAAGAGTGGTAAGATTTAAAACTTTTTTTTTTAAAAAAAACTTTTTAAAAATTTCTGTCCTAAAATTTCTATCCTAACAAGAGACTTTATTAGACTAATTCCTGAAATATCAACTTTATTAGACTATTAGTACAAATGTGCACTATATTGTGCTTTTATTTTACTAAAAGTCTAAAATACGTGACTTTTCTTTCTATTATTGTGTCGCAGGACAAAAACTATTTAAAAGACTTTTTTTGATATGATTATGTCTCATACAATAACACATTAGGGGCATGTTGTAGCTCAATGCTCTCTTAAACTTGTTAACACGTGGCAACCTGTGTCATAATAGACTTTACAATTCCAAAACATTAAAATTGTAATAACCTAAACCTATTTTGCATTAGTTATGATAAAAATTCATAAAACGTAACTGTAATTTTGTAAACTTTCACGAAAGTCCCACTTAATAAAATTTATGTGAAAATTAAGCCTTTTTTTTTTGTCGATACGATAGCGTCTTATACTATGGGGAGAGGGAGGATCTGAAGAGGTTTTAGGGTAATCGGGAGAGGACTGAATCATTATCGAATCAAACGGGTGCAATACGCACCTGTCTGGATTTTTTTAAACAATGTCACATTTAAATTGTGACAAATTGATGAGAGCAAGGTTAGATTTGAACCCTTGTCTCTCACCCCACCAAGTTTTAATGCAGCCCAAAGGCGGGGTGATTGTGAAAATTAAGCCTCAAAAAGTGTGTTTTTGCCATCTTTTAACTGCACTCCAACGCTAGACTCGCACGATAAAACAGAGCGGTGTTGGATAACTTCATGGATTTGCCTACGACCGAAATCACTATAATAACATATCCGCTCATGTCATTGGACAGAGAGAAATGAGAGAGAAACATATATTCCGTTGTGTCTTTTATGAAAAAAAGGGACCTTTTTTTCCAAGCTATTGTGGTAAACCTTTCTATCTTTTGCACTTTAACGCATGTTTTTCACTTCAGTCCCGCAGTCCATACCAGGTCTGATAAAGATTTGCTCTATGATTAAACTTTCACATGAAGTTAAAAAGGCTAATGATACCACTAGTACGAGGGAAAGTGAGTAAAAGCAGCAACTCCGACGTTTGGGTCCACCGAAACATGGTCCAAGTGCATATTTAGAAAAACATAAGACTTTTTCGGTGCATAATTGGCTGCACATTATTTACCCCCCCCCCCCCCCGTCTGGTAGGCTCTATAGTACGAGCTAGCTATATGCGTCTTCTTTATTTATTCTAAATCACGATATTTCTAAATAAATATATATATAAATTTCTAAAATCAAAAAGTGAGTTATCTATTGCGATTACAAAAGTAATTAATTATAAGGTACAATTAATTAACGGCTCGAATCAAATCAAATCAAATCCCGTTGTCAAGAAGTAATAATAATAATAATTATGTTATCAAAACTAAAGAGAATCAATAGGTTTAGGTTCAGCCCTTTTTGTCAACTACGCCTTCGGTGGCCTTGAGGTAATAATGACGGAAAAGATATGGTGAAGCGAATGATAAAACGGAAAAGTTGGCCGTGTATCTGACGTACTTATCCCCCCAGATCTAATGGATTGGATCTGATATAGACAAGATTCTGCGGCGGCCTTGTGCGAATACACGTCATTAATTATTTATTTAAAGATTTAAAAAGACAGCTGAAAATTTAACAAAAAGAATATGAAAACGCCATCAATCATCTGGTCCGGTTAACTCAATAAAATGTAAATAGCAACATAATAACCCAAAATCATCAATGTCCTAAAGAAACGAGGAGGTTGGTAAGTTGCTCTACATTTTCTCGGATTGCTATTTTCTGGAGTTTATAGAAAAATATATTATAACGATTGGTTTAATACTGCATGTATGTGCGTGAGGTAAGAAGATGACCAGAAAATGAATTCACAAAAAATGTAAAAATTTTCTAGAGAAAAATTGCAATCCATATAAAGAAATCTCTTATCTTTTTGGTTTTTTTTTTTTTTTTTTGGCGTGAAAAGTGTTTAAGTCGAGTCTATAAATAATGATTTGCCACAACTAATGTAGAGATATAAACTAATAAGATCAATCAAAACAGGGATGAGAAGGAGTCCTCTTTGTTGACTGGACCAACCCACAAGCAGCAGAAGGTATGGTATGGTATGGTGCGTTTTCATTCTGTATCTTTTTCCAGCCTTCCACAGCGGGATGGAATTTGAGTTGGTGAATTGGGGGGGGGGGGGAGAGGTTGCTGTCATTCAATAAACTGTCTTCTAGACCAAACGGAAAACGGAGAAGAAGGAAAAGACGCGTCGTTGGATTGGTACGAGCAGCATTCTGCATTCCTCATTGATATCATAACTTGACTTTAGATTGCGACTGAATTAAATTATCGATATCTGCTGTCAAATTACTTGAATTCCTTGATTTGATAGGAACGTATGATTCGTTCTCCATGATGAAGAATTTATGTTCATCAGATTCCCTGCAAGATCCTTGGGACAAAATTAAAAATCCAAGAAAGTAAAGAAACAGGGGAACGAGAGCAGTCGCATTTTTATTGCAAGTCATTCTTGACTTGTGAATGTCACGACCAACAGACTAAGCAGGAATCCTGTGAAAGAAAGGTTCTTGCTTTGATGCTTTTGAACCTTTGTCACGGCGTCTGCCCCACGCATTACATTACACAACCAGATGAGCTGTGTTTCATGTGAAGAACTGATGATAGACTGGAGTTAGTTGCCATAGAAAATTTTCACTCCAAAGGTGGAAGGAAAACAAATCTAAAACTGGAAATCCGCAAAATAACACTTAAAAACTTTATTATAGTAAACAATTTTCATTTTTATTTTTCCCCTTTCTGAAACAGGTTTCTCTGGACATGCTAAGGCAGTTGTCTTTAGTGAAAACAAGCAAGCTCTCTCTTATGGGAATCTCGACCACCTGGCTGGTAAGCAGGATAAGCTTATGCTGCTAAGCTCTTTGATGCGATCTCATACACATTCTCTGAAAGCCCATTGGAGGACAAGATCATCTCGAGCTGTGCCTGCAAGAATCCGCAAGGGTTTTCTCAATGCTTTGACTAGCCAAGAAGAACGCTGATGATGATGATGATGTTAACTATTTCGTTAAAAAAGTAACCGCTTTTCACAGAGAAAAGTATCTTTTCAGCAGCAGCAGCAGCATTGAGTAACTGACAGTAAAAAATGCCATCATGTCCAGACAAATTTGAGTGTGTAGTAGTTACCTTGGCAAGATTTTGCCGAGTTTCATCATAACGCTTCCACCTTGAGAAGGCTGACACCATTCGAGAAGCCACCTGCAATTCAATTCACGAGGAAATGTTCGTATGAGATTAAAATGACCAAATTCATAATATAGTATAGTCTTGAAGAAATTTCTTGAATGAACCTGAGGATTCAATTTGTCAAGCTGCACTACGATTTCCCCCAAGAATTTGTATCCTGAT